CTTAGGACATTTTTGCATTTTGCAAACACACCTTTGTTAAAAATCAATAAAAACCTACTGAAGAGGCCAGAGAGAGGCTGCATTTTCTGGGTCTTACTGCTCGGCCTGAGTTAATGTAAACCTTCTCCAGGCGTTCTCAGACTTTGTTTTTTTTAAACTGGCATAAATTATTCTTCTTCAACGTGTATTCCCAGTCGGCTTTCAAACCAGTCAGGGTTCACACGCAATGACCCCTGCCTTTTGGGGGGTCATGCATTGATTTATGACTTTACATGGAATTCCTATCTCAGGAAATGTATACAACCAAACTGTAACCCAAACACAGTGATCAAGGTTTCTTGGGTGTACTCTCTGGGCCATGGTCACGCATAGCCAGCTTCGAATAAACCTCTTTAAATTATTTTACAGAATGGGTTCTTTCCCATTGAAAGACAGAAAGATTCTCATTGAATCATAAAGAAAATAATTGTAAAATTTTACTTTATCCAAAGTAAATGAAGTGGGCTCATCTCCCTTCTCCTCCCTCCCCCCACAGTCGACTCTGGGAATGGCCCAGCGCCCCTACTCAGGCAAGTTCCCAGGCCACCTCCTTCCTCCTCCTTCCCCCTAGAGTTGCCAAGAACAGACTTCAGAACAAGGAAGCACAAAAACCCCCCAAGTTCCCAGTGAGTGAACAATAGTGGAAAACCTACTGAAGCTGTATCAATCATCCCTACATAACTATACTCATTGTGATTTAAGAAGTATCCATTGGCAACCAAGTTGTAACCCCCTGCCCTAAGCTAACCAGCCACGTCTTGCTTCTGTACCGGTATGCTTGCTCAAAATTATAAAAAGCAACCTACCCCTTACTCCAGGGCTGACTGCCTCTCAGAGCAGCAGCCCCTGTGGCAGGTAAAATAAATTACCAATTAATTACATCTAAGTGGAGGTCCGACTCAATCCTTTCAGGTCATAGGGGGTACAACACAAAAACTTGTGCTGTTGCAGAGTTGTAAACACGAAAAAGGAAACCACCAAGAGGGCAAAAATATTTGTAACACACATATCTAACCAAGTACTTGTATCCAGGATACATAAAGGCTTTTTACAACTCATCAACAAAACAACTCAAATGTTTATCATCATCAATAAAACAACCCAAATGTTTATTAGCAGAAGACAGAGAAATCAAATGAAGTATATTCAAACAATAGGATGTCAGGGAAACAATGCTCGATGAATATTTTAATGTTTCTGGATGATTTGTCTTCTTGAGCAAAGGAAATTGGCAAGCCATAGACTATCTCTTCTTCCACATCATAAGGGTATTAGAACTATCTGATCTCATTTAAAGGATAATAAAACTTATTTCCTCAATAGTCAAATGTTTGCATTCCAGGGTTGGTACTTTCCTCTTTGTCTTCCAGAAAGAATTAATTTACTTTCCAAGGAATGTGTTTACATTAGGGACCCAGGGATTCTCTTTCTCTTAGGAAACAGTGGCAGCTAAGGGATGTGTAGCCTACATAAACTCAGGTGTGTAGCCTACATAAACTCGTCTTTTCATTTTATCTTTAATTTGTTTGAAATAATTCACTACATATGTTGCATATTATGACTTCAATAATTAAATGTGTGCTATAGTTCACACCTCTAATGTATTTGCTTTATTTTCTCATATAAGAGGCAAATAAGGAAACTATGAAGAGCATAAACTTTGATATTAGATCAACCAGAATTCAGATTCTGGTTCTGGTGTTTATTGAGTGAACAACCTGTCCAAACCTGTTTTTTTGTTTTAAAACTTGGGGAAACATGACCAACTCACAGAATTGTTGTAAAGAGTGAAGGACGTAGTAAATATAAAGCATAGTATTTGACTCAAAGTAAGAATTCAGTAACTTCATAACATCACTATTATTATTATTACGTATCACTCCTGGAAACCATTTAGAAATTAAACTAGGGGAGAAAAATGTGTATTTTTTGTTTGTGGTATTAGTATTTGATGTGGGGGATGGGTATTAGTTTACGGCTTTTTGACCAGAAAGCCCAGGAACAGAATACATCAGGCTCCACAACATGCAATCTCAATGTGGTAAATCACGGCCTGAAGGGTTACAATGCTGAGAAGTGGACGAAAACAACTTGAATGCATTTCAAACATCCCTGAAGGATACACTAAAGTCTTTATTTTGAGTGGGAAGGTTGAAATAAGGAGAGACTAGGACTGTTACTTTCTAATGTTAATAGAAGAGGGTAAAAAGTGAGATTTAAAGGTACTAAAACTCCCTAAGGTGAGTGCTGGGTCACAGGTAAAAACAAAAGCTATGACTAAGCTTATTACTTTAATGCACGGGAAACATCAGCTCAACACCTAGCCGTTCTCAGTCACACTCATCCCACAGAACCAAAGGCATCCTGAGGACAGAAAGGTGAGCTCAGGGGTCCTCAAACTTTTTAAACAGGGGGCCAGTTCACTGTCCCTCAGACCGTTGGAGGGCCAGACTATAGTTTAAAAGGATAGGCAGGGGCTAAGCAGGACAGGCAACAGCGGCAAAAACACCCAGCAGGCTGGATAAATGTCCTGGGAGGGCCGCATGTGGCCCACGGGCCATAGTTTGAGGATGCCTCAGCCTTTGAACTGGTTACTGCCTTCTGACCCAGAGGAACTTGAAGAAGAAATGAGAGAGGGGAGGAGGGGAATGGAGAAAACTTTGGCTTCTCAAACAATGGATAGTCCACTTACAGGGGGAAAGCTCCAAGTCCCAGTTACCCTATCCATTCCCACTTCCTGAGTGGGGGAACAACTTGGTGAAATAATGAAATGTCATTATTTGAATTAGGAAGGGTTAGGAGATAATGGAGGACTATGCATATGTCTGCTTTAGTCACGAAAGTCCATGAATGATTCATATTCAAACTGAAATGCATGTAAGTCCTAATAGCTAGATATCAAAAAATGATTGGCACAAAATGCTTTTGTAGCAAACATACACTCTATTTAACCAACAAGACTTAAGATGATAATGATAGAGCTAACCTAATACAGTTTATAATTAAAAAGTAAGAACAATAGTAGCTCAAAGTAATACTGATAATGTACCAGAAACATTGAGCCTTTCCTAAAATGTTCCAGAATTACAAAAGAATCACTAACAGTGCAGTTAGGAAAACAGAAACTACACTGGTTATTTTAACAGAAAGAATTTGTATAAAGAATTGGTTAACCAGAGATTGGATTGTGCAAGATACAGTTGGAAAATAAAAACAAAGTAGATGTGGCAGAACTATTAGGTTATTAAGTACGAGTGTCTCATTTCCTAAAGTACTAAGTTTGGCAGTTGAAATCTCTGACCTTTCGCTTTGACGCTTCTTGTTTTATATTTATGGTGAGGGGATATCCTTATTCTTTCAAGTGCACGTTTTACTTTGTGATTATCTTTCAATTTTTGTGAAGTTAAAAATTTCTGAGGTATAATGAGGCTGATTCCAAGAGAACAGGAAGAAGCTGGAAGCCAGAACCAATTGCTACTGGAACTAGCTGCTCCTGCCAGGCTAAAGAGGCCATGTGGGGTCTTACCTGACCTAACAGCAAAGAAACAGGAAGCAAGGCCCTTCTTTCCTCTTCAGGCATTCAGTAGTCCTTCAGTGTCCCCTATTGGTAGAAATTAAAAGAGCAAATTAACAATCCAGAAATGTGGTTGCAGAGACCTGGCAGCTACATCATAAAGCAGGGGTGCCAGCCTAAGGGAACCCCTGACCTAGAGTCCCACTTCTGGTTCTAAGTCTCTTCCAGAGCAGGGAAATAGTCTACTCAGGGGTCTAAGAAAATCCTGCCCCATCCTCTTTTTACTCCTTTCCCTCCAAAAGTGTTTTTTCAATTACTGAAGACCCTTTTTTCTAAGATAAGGATAATTTATCTAATTTTATCATTGATTCCCTTTATTTGTGTTCTGAAAACAGGCATCTGAGGTAAATGGAACACATCAGAAATAAATCATTAGTTTCTCTATTTTTAGGCTGTGCCCAACCTTTGCAACTACCGAGAAAGGAGCAAGGCTGAGACCAACTCTCAGATTTTTCTTCTACTACTCCAATGTTTCTTTCTTTCTTTCTCTCTTCTCCCCTCGGGTTGTTCAATATGGTTGTGTTGTCAGCTGTCACAAAAGATCCACAATTTTTTTTAAGTTAAGAAGTTTGTAAACGAAAACAGTTACAGTTAGGTAAGGTCAATTTACTATTAAAGAAAGAAAATGTTTTTTATATATTTAGCGTAGCCTAAGTGTACAGTGTTTACAAAGTCTACTGGTGCACAGTAACGTCCCAGGCCTTCGCGCTCACTCACCACTCACTGACTCACCCAGGGCACCTTCCAGTTCTGCAAGCTCCGGTGCACCATTCTCATGTTTTGTAATATGGTTACTTTACTATTTCCACTTTGGGATACTTTAGATTCACGAATGCCTACCGCCGTGTTCCAGCATCCTACCAGCAACATCATTGCGGACCTCATGGGTCTGCGCCAGTCCTCCATGGTTGGGGCACAGTGATGAAACCGCCTAAGGATGCCTGGCTCAGAAGGAATTTGTGTTAAGCGACCCATGACTGTACCATGTCTGGCAGAGTGCCTGCTAGTATGTTGAGAGATAACTACATATCTCATGCTTCCAGTATTGAATTCTGACATTTTAAGTGACCATCAGCTCCGCCCAAATACCAGAACTGCTGGGCGGTGGGTTCGCGTCACTCTCTGGTTCCTGGAGGGAGGTGTCACCTGCGTAGTGACCTGGTTGGTCGGGCTGTGAAACTGGGAGGGGGAAACTCTCAGACTCTCCGAACTGAAACTCTGAGTGGCCCAGGGTACTACAAATCCGCGAGAAGTTTTGCCGGCTCTGGCACCCAGCTTGGGAAGCCGGGGCGTCCGCCGCTCGCTCGCCCGCTGCTCCGGGGACACCCGGGGATGCGGGGAGGGGGGTGTCGGGGCGCCGCCTCTCTGAGCCTGGGGGACTGCGGTGCGCAGAGCCCGGGTCGCCGAGAGGAGGCTGCACCCTCGCCACGCGTGGCCCGAGCGGGCGTGGAGCCGGCTGTCCTCTGAAATGTGACCCAATTCCGCCACCCATGCGGGTCCCCAGGTCCCCGGCGCCCCGCTGCCCGTTTTTGTCGCTGCTGCTGCTGCCACTGTTGGCAGCGCCGTGGGGACAAGCAGGTAAGTTGGTCACACCGCCCGGAGCGCGCTGCGGTCGGGCTCGCCCGCAGGTTTCACTTTGGGGGGTGTGGAGGGCGTGGGGAGCCCTCGGGGGCGCCACTCTGCGTTCCACTCTTACCAGGAGGGTTGGAGCGAAGGAAGAGTGGCAGCGGTCGCCCGGGATGGGACCCACCCCGGGTCACGTGCGGTCGGTCACTGTAGGAACCAAACTCCCTGCGAAGGTCTGCTCCGGAGGAAGGGGGATCTGGAAGAGGCAGCGCTTCTAGGGACCTTCCCGCCTCCCTTTCCTGGGCATTGTTTCCTTTGCAGAAGTAACAACAAATTTCAACTAATTTATAACATAAGGCAACCAAAGGGCTGTTTCGTTTTGTTAAACTCTCTACCAATTGGAGTCCAGGAACCTAGAATGATTCATTAACCTGATTGCTTTTTGTTCTGCAGAAATGCAGAATTGAAGAAAAAAATGTTTTGTTTCGTTTAAAAAATCAAGATGTCTGGGATTTTTTTTCTTAAAATTAGAAACAACACCAAAGTTTCTCAGGATACTGTACTTTGTACAGACTTGGCTTAGACTCCTGTACTTTTTAACTGAGCTACAAGAGTGAATGCGGGAAGAAAGTCCGCGAAGCTGCTGAGTCTTTAGTAGCCAAAAGTTATGTAAGTCCAGTGAGGTTACAAAGGCAAGAGAGTTGTGCATATAGAACTTGGGGTGATTTTCGAACAGTAGACACACACATACCCTTACACCCTTATCTTCTAAATCCTAAATCTATCAGAAACTGTAGGATAGCTATTTTGCCTTTTAATATTCTGAGGGAAGAGATGACTCCTCATTGTGCATAATCCAGCCATTAACTAACAGATACTATGTATGAATTTCCTTGTTTTTCTTTTTAATCGAAGAGAGAATAAAACTTGCTTCTCTGTTGGATTGGTGGGCTGACATTCATTAGAAGGTTGCAGTATTCTGGGTTTTTTTTTTTCAGATTAATATGAAGGTACAAATGATTAGGCTACAATGTTTGCACGTGTTAGGTAAAGTCCCTGTTGTAGTTGTGTACACCACCCAGGAGGTGTGCCATACACCCTTACATTGTACCCATTAGGTAGGATCACACCAGTCCGCTTCCCCACTCCCTCTCCCCCATCTTGAATTGAATTGGGTTTTTCTCATGTGGACATGTATTACTTTGTCTACTGGCATCATATTAGTGTTGAGTGCACTGGATACTTTTCCATTCTTGTGATACTTTTCTAAGAAGAATGTACCTCAACTCCATTCAGGTTAATACAAAAGATATAAAGTCTCCAACTTTTTATGGCTGAATAGGATTCCATGGTATACATATACATATACCACAGTTTGTTAATCCATTTATGGGTTGATGGGCATTTGGGTTGTTTTCACTTTTTGGCAATTGTGAATTGAGCCGAGATAAGCAATCTAGAAAAGGTTGTAATATTCTTTACTTCAAAGGAAAATTTCCAAGAAACAAGCAAACTTTTTGACCTAAGAGGCCCTTTCTTAGCTCTTTGTAAGGCATTCCTGTCCTCTCCTGGGTCTCTAGGCACCCTAAGGACTTCTGGGAAAATCTTAAAAGTTGTGTGCTGTTACTCTGGAGACTACCTGCTCTTTGCTGATGGATTGTCTACAATGTTTGCTGAACAACATGGGCTTCCTAAGAGTTCTATGACTTTGCCACTCTTAGGTAGATCAATGTTTTAATGCTTTACTTTTTGAAAAGTCAGAGTTCTGGTCACCTCTTCCTTACACTATCCCTTAGTTTGGGTTCATTTGTAAGTTTCCTCATCATTAAAAGTATTTCATTTTTGGCCAATGCCAGATAAATTATGTTGTCTTTCTCAATGCATCATTTCAAAGGATTTATAACACCACTATTTCTTACTGGTTGTGTTAACCATGTTCACTTAGTTAAGGTGACGTCTTCAGAGTTTCTGATTATAAAGTTTCTATTTTTCATTTTGTAGTTAATATATATCTTGCAGAAAATGTTGCTAAATTCTAACTTTTTTTTTTTTTTTTGTGGTTTTTGGCCAGGGCTGGGTTTGAACCCACTCCCTTTGGCATATGGGGCTGGTGCCCTACGCCTTTGAGCCACAAGCGCTGGCCCTAAATTCTAATTCTTTTCTTTTTCAACAAAATTGAAGGTGGATGGTGTTAATAAAAAATTAAAATCTTAAAATAAATAAATAATTTGCGGAGAGATACTTTGAAATTATGCAATTATCCTATTTCTCCACAAACTTAACACCCATTAATTTTAGTACTCATTAGTACTCATTATTATGCCTGAAAGTGATTTTTTATTTTACTCTTTCCACATTTATTAATTGGAATCTCACTGCAGGGAAGAACTGTCTCTTTTCCCACATTTATTTATATAGTGGCTTAAATATATCAATATGAAACTCATAATTATTTATTTTATTCTTTCAGTTATAATCCAAAACTATCATTGTTAGTTTTGTTGCTAACAGGGTTCCAACTTTGGCTGTTAAGAACCCCTTCCATTTGGCTTCTGTGTCCTTTTAAGAAGCTCCCTTCTTTTTGACCAGTTTTGAGTATAGAGTCATCTTGTATTTTCTCTGCCCCACGTCTGGAATTAACCATTTCCTCAAGAAGCTCTGGTTTCTTTTCCTGGAGAATGGTGTGTAGACACCAAAGTCTGGGTGCCAGCCATACTTGTTACTACTGGAATGTTGTTTCTAGTGCTCTCAGTAAGCACAGCTGGAAGATACATATATGTGTCCTAACCCACTTATACACACCATCTGCATTTCCCTATCTATCCATCTTTACTGAAGACCATGAGTTTATACTAATACTTAGGATTTTGATTCAATAGCAAAGTTCATTTTAGCTTTCCTCTTTCTCTTTTTAAAAAATTATTATTGTTAATATTACTACCTCTTAAAACATAGTAAGTGAAAAACTTGAGGAAGATTATAGTTCAGTTGATTATAATCACTTTCATAGCCCTGTTCCAAAAATACAAATTTAACAGCAAATCCATTTGTGTTCCAAAGTGCCCTGGAGTGGGCAACTGATTGTTGGGTCCCTTGGTAGTGCTGTACATTATAACACACATGTAGAATAAAATGAATACACATAAGTGGAAGCATATATTCTATGAGGTCACATGCAAATTTTAGGGTAGGTCAAATAATACAGTGGCTATCTGCAAAGAGGGAAGTGGACTTGAATAATGGGAATAAAAGGAAATATATAGACACTTGTACACATATACCTGCAAGAAAGGGGCATGTCATGGGCTAACAATGATAGTGGGCCATGAGGAAAATCTAGAATTTTCGTGATGTGCATCTGTATTCAGAATGAGTTGAGGCTTTCCCTTATAGAAAGGTTCTTGCCACCACAGTAGCAAATAAATTATTTAAAATGTGTTTTGTGTGAGGGGCATTCCTGGAGAAATCTCCAGCTATAGGAGAGCTCACTTAAGTGGACAGATGACAACTTAGTCGAATAAGATTTTACAAATCCAGTAGCAAAACCCTTGCCCTTATCATCCTCAGTCCTCTATAAAGGTTGAAGGAACAAATGATATCTTGAAACTAAAATTAGCTAAACTAATAGAGTTGAACAGATTGTTTTAATCTGGAGTTTTACCTCTGGCCTTAAAAACAATTAGATCAACCCCTATAGGAAAGCACAAACTGAAGTATTAATATTGTTTTGGGAAGACATGTGCCTTTGATAACAGAATGCCATGTGTCCCTTGAATTTCTCAGCTCTGCTGTCACCCAGTACTGTAATGCAGTGGTTCTCAACCTGTAGGTCATGACCCCTTTGTAACAATGAAAATACATCTCAGCATTAGGAAGGTTGAGAACCACTACTAATGCCTTGATGCAGTGTGCCAAAGTATGTTTCCACCAGGTGAGGGTAGTCTTCTGTTAACTGCCTCGTGATAATGACAAAAGCCTGGAGATTGGGTCTTTTGGCAATGACACCAGGGAAAACTACCCTTTATTTATAGCCTTTCTCTCCAGTAGTAGGAAACCCATATCTCATTATCTGAAGTAGATATAGCTATTTGTTCAAGTCTAGTATAAAGTAGGTTCAGAATTGCTAACTTAATCTCCTATGAGAAGCACATTTACTACGTAGATTACAGCCTTGATGTATAGTCTTTGGTCTTTCATTTTGTAATGTCCAGTCAAGATACTGTTGGCCAGAGACAGCTGAGGTTTTTTTCTCTCGCCCCTTTTAGTGTGTTTATATTTTCCATTCGTAAGAAGCGAGGTCCAGTTGTTACTGCTTATATTTGAGTTTGAGTTCTGCCACAGAGTGGGTAGTTTAACTGTTTGTGGAGTTTGGTTTGGAGGTTCCGTGAAACCTGACTGCAGTTCTGAGAGAGTTTTACACTATGGTGTACTCAGAGCAGGAGTGCTCTTTCCTCATCCTCACCACCTCATTCACCTTCCAAGTAATTACCCATGTAAGTCTCTGCCGTGAGAGCAGCTCACCACACAACACTCACAACCCTGCACCCAGATGTGCAGGGTGTCCTGTTTCTGCAAACTTCCAACTGTGCAAAAGTTCTTCAGTAAAATGAGTTGAGACTCAGCCCTTTTAATTTTCAACCATTGTAAACCTTCATTCCTTTTTTCAATTATATAAGATTTTCATTTTATTTTTTTACTTCAGAATATCAGGGAGCACACGTTTTGTTTACATACTTTGCTTTTGTACAGACTGAGTCAAAGTTCTAAGTGTGCCCTTCACCCAGCTAGTGTGTGCTGAACCCAGTAGGTGTGAATTTGTTAGTCCTGGTTCTGAGCTAATGAAGCCTTCAGAACAAGCTGTTGTGACCATCACTGACTGAAGGCGGCCATCATATTTCCTTTACGTCTTCTTTCCTCTCCACAACTGCCCGTTCCAGTCTGTCTGTAGGCCTGACTCCCTCCAGATCATGATGAGATGGTCTCCCACATTCTAACACTGAACCTGGAGGCCT